GTTCATAACTACTCTGAAGAAGATTGAAGCACCAAAGACCATACAACCATCTATAAGGTGAGAGGTCAATGAAACGATTAACAAAAAGTTGAAAGTTTCATTTTTTTTTGTTTTTCCAGAAAATTATAAAAAGATATAGAGTGTATAAAGGAGGAATAGAAAAAAGCTTTTCCCTTTAGTGAGAAAAAGAAGGTTAATGAAAAGATGATTTCAGAAAACAAAGCTATTTGTTTCTCTCTCTTAACTCATCTTACTTTTCTTCTTCTATTAGTAAAGATGTAAAACTCACTACTCTCTCCACCCCAAAAAAAAAAAACTATTTCTCCTTCTTTCTCCACAAAAGATTCTTCAATTTTGTTCTTATTTTTGGTTAGTCACAGTACCCTCTCTATACACTATAAACCACACTGTCTTGAGATAAAAGAACAAAAAGAGAGAATTAAAAAACCTCATCCGATGATAGACTACGAGAGAAGCAACAATAACACCAAGAACATCAACCATCATCGGAATCCTCCGTCTTCTTCCTCCTCTGATCTTCTTCCCGACGGTAATGGGGCCACCGTGACCCAGAAGAGGAAACGGAGACCCGCCGGGACACCAGGTATTTAAAAATTCCGTTCAAGTTTTTCTTTTTCTTGATATAGCACCGAGTATTCAGTATATTCAAGAACTACAAAAAAGGATTTGATTTTGGTTACAATTCATTTAAATTTTTGGTTTTTCCAAATGGGTATTTGGATTAATATCCGAAAGTAATCATATTTTTTTTCCGGCGGTGGCAGATCCGGAGGCGGAAGTGGTATCTTTATCACCAAGAACACTACTAGAATCGGATCGGTACGTGTGTGAGATCTGTAACCAAGGTTTTCAGAGAGACCAGAATCTACAGATGCATAGGAGACGACATAAAGTACCATGGAAGCTTCTAAAGAGAGAGACCAACGAGGAAGTGAGAAAGAGAGTCTACGTTTGTCCAGAGCCGACTTGTCTCCACCATAACCCTTGCCACGCACTCGGAGATCTCGTAGGAATCAAGAAACATTTCAGAAGGAAACACAGTAATCACAAGCAATGGATCTGCGAGAGATGCTCCAAAGGCTATGCTGTTCAATCTGATTACAAAGCTCATCTCAAAACCTGTGGCACTCGTGGCCACTCTTGCGACTGTGGTCGCGTTTTCTCCAGGTTCATTTCTAAGAAACCCTAGCTACTGGAAATATTTACGAGATATATTATTATATCGGAATCCTTAAAGTAAATCAAAGAATGTTTTTTTTTCCTTCTAGTATTGCGTGTACATGTTGGTTATAGATAATGTACACAGATCTTGAAACAAGCTTGACTAATGGAAGGTGAGGTTTGTTAACTTGGACTGTTGTTTGAAATGTTTTTAATTAATTTAATAATATAATTAGGAATTATATATATGTTTTGATTAGATATTAATTTGAACTCACGTTGACCCCATTACAGATTTCATTATCGCATTTTGTTAAGTATATACCAAAACAAAACTCGGAGTCTTGCATCTCATACTCATGATATATATAATCTAAAAGATACCTAACTCCACTAACTTATTTAATTTTATATTCCTTTAATTATGCTTTCTATTTTAGTTTAACTATATATATATAACACACTCTTCTTGATTTTAGAGTGGAGAGTTTCATAGAGCACCAAGACAATTGCACCATGCGTCGATCTCAACCCTCCAGCCACCGTTTACAGCCGCAACAGCAACATACCGCAAACGCTACACAAACCGCTTCCACCGCGGAAAACGCAGACCTCTCCATTGGTCCTGTATTGCCTGGGCATCCTTTGTTAAGACAATCCCAACCGTCTGACCAACAACCATCAGATTTGCGCTATCCTTTCGTTTCTTCATGCGCTACGAATGGTAGTAGCATCGAGCTTCAGCTACTTCCATCGAGGAATAACGCAGATGAGACGAGCCTTAGTCTGTCCATAGGGATGGATCAGACGATAATGTCAGAAGTTGAGAGGAAGAGGTACGAGAAGGGAGAGACGAGTTTACTATTTGGAGAAAGAGAGGAAGCAAGAAGAGAGGCCAAGAGGCAGATAGAGATTGCGGAATTGGAGTTTGCTGAAGCCAAGAGAATAAGGCAACATGCAAAAGCTGAGCTACATAAAGCTCAACTTTATAGAGAAGAAGCAAGTAGAAGGATTAGTGCTACTATGATGCAAATCACTTGCCATAATTGTAAGAAACATTTTCAAGCCGTTGCTGCCTCGGTTCCTCCTCCTCCACCTTCTCAGATGCCTTGTACCGATGAGAGTACGTCTCTTGCCGTGAGCTATGTGTCTTCGGCGACTACCGAAGGGGAAAAGGCGAGTGATAGAGCTTCTTCATAGGCTTTCGAAAAGAGACACAAAAGAAAGAAAGAAAAATATTATTCTTCTGTTTTTTTTTTGGTTCTTTGATTGGAATTGAAGATCATCTTTTGATATTCGTTGGTTTTTTTATAAATTCTTGGTTTGTGGGCAACCCTGGTTGGGGTTTGGTTTTTTTTTCCTCAAACAAATACCGTAGAAGGGAAGAGTTTTGTTATATGAAATATATGTGTTGTCTTTTGCTTCTTGGATATTGTAACTTTGGTTAGTGTAATAAACGGGTCATACTTTATCGGTGAAAAATAGATTAAAACAAATAAACCGGTTATAACTCAAGCATTTTTAGATGATTTTGGAAGAATCTAGGCATTTTTTAAATAAAATTCTCGATAATCATATTTGACTATTTATAATTTTGACTAAAATCTTTTCTAAAACATCTCGAAATTATTAAATATTTAATGGTTAGTATATTTCTAATAACAATTGATTTAAAGAATACTTCAACATTAGATTTTAACAGACTTTTTAATTTATTATTCAATAACATGTGATTGTTTAGAAATAAATCATTTCAAAACTAGATTTAGAAATAAATCATTTCAAATACTAGATTTAAATACATTCTCTAGTTGCTTTATTAATTAGTTGTTTTTAATTATTTGTGTGATGTATAACTATTAAAGAATATACACTCCGTTTTAATATATAAGATATTTTGATTAAAAATGTGTATTTTAAAAAATTACTTTTCTGTCAAAAATATTATTTAATATATAAAAAAAAAATTCAACCAGTTATGAAAACGACGGTATAATATTATTGGACTGAAACGGAAAAAATAAAAAAGTTTTGATAGAGGGTCTCTCTCTGATAGAGTAACTGTCTCTTCCCAAGCGATATCTACAAAGTACAACCAAACCACCCTCTTCACCAGATCTTCACCGACCAGCGTTGGCTCCGACGTCGGCCGTACTCTTGCTTTATCTATTATAGTCATTAGTATCTACCTACGACGGGTCAGAGGAGGATTGAGAAAAGAATCGATGCATGGTCTTCCGATGAGAAGACTTTTCGATTTCGGTTGGTGTCCATACTTCTTCCAACGGTGATCATGCTTCTTTTCAATGTCTATCGAGCGATATTAATCTGTTGAGATTTTAATGAATCAGTTATGCAGATTTCACCATTTAATTTCATCCAATTTTCGGAAGTCATATATTTGACAACCATTCGAAGATTTTTAAACTGTGTATGCGCTCGTCTTTTGACATGTTTTGATGGAGGAGCAATCACACACACTTACAACCTTCTTTATTTGGCATTTTCCGAGTCGGTGGTTCTTCTTCTAGTTTAATTTCTCTTTGATCTTTTGTTTAATAATTTCTTGAACGCATTAGTGGATCGTTTACGCTGGTTTTTTCATACGACACTGATGGTGGTATATAATAGTGACCGTTCATAATGACATTATGCTGCGATGATCCATGATCTTTCCATTAGAACGTGGTCCGTTCTAATAATTGATTAACTGCTTTGTCTCACAATGGTAGAGTTTTTTTCCGGCGATGTCGCTACAACTATCGTATCTACTGAATCTTCGAAGCAAATTGTATATCATCGAAGAATGGGCATAGCAATAGATAATTGAGTATCCAATGTATATCATTGTATCAAATTATTTGCTGGTGTTCGGATGATACAAAAAATTATTTGTACTCATCAATTATTTTCATAAATTATGTATAAACAATTAAAGATGAATGAAATTTTAGATGTTAAAAAAAACGGAAAATATAAATTTTTTACGGTAACTCTAAAGAATTACCAACAAAATTCGCTGATGTCTTTGCATTAAATGCGAATGAAAGAGAGACTAGGTCAAATCGTAAGATTCTCAGGTATAGACCATCTTTTTCCCTATCACACGTTTGTGTAGACTATCGAGTGTAAATTTTAGTTTGATGGAGTATAGATTTTTTTTTCGATTTTGTGGATTTTGGTCTCAACGTGACGAAACAAGAGATCATGATTTTTTTACACAAAGACAAAAATCTCGTAATTTATCCTTTGAACTTTTGATGGATATACAGGCTGATTTAAGATTTTCGGGATATCGGAGCAAAAAAAAAAAATAACGATCCTTTATTTAGTTTAAGAAAAAGAGGAATATTAAAACAAATATTTTATAGGGAAATTTGGTTGTATAACACACAAAAAAAATTATATCTAAAAATCTAGCCAAAACCTATATATGTAGCTAAATCTCACATATTAGATCTAGGACTTTTGATTAGTTTTTTTAATATAATTAGTTTTTTGGTTATACTACAAATTGACCCTATTTTATATGTGATTTAAAAAATGGAAACAGAAAGTATTTGGCCAAAAAACTTGTATTCTATGTATTTTTTAAGAAAATAAATATTTAAAATCTCAAAACAAAAATTAAGCTTTTTCACATAGCACGAAACGAGATTTCGGAGTCGCACTGTGCCATTCCCTTTAAATTGGCCTTGCGTATATATTTAAACACTTACTTCTAGAAAAATTAAACGATTAAACATGTAGATGATTATTAGCAAAATTTTAGAGTACATAATTCGATTTCACTTTCCAGCAAAAAAAATAAATAAACAAAACAAAACTCATTATTGATATAAAAAAAAAACATTACGGTCATCAACTTGTTATTTTAGGAGAAAATGGAACCACTATTATATTCTCACCCTACTTATTTTTTTTCTTTCCCAGCATCCTAATCTAGTTTAGTTTAACAGTCAAGATAAGAAACTTCAAAATGAAATAAAAATCTGAAATAAAATTTATAAATAAGAGTTTTCGGTAGTAAACTCTTATATTAGCATTAGGTAAGAGTTTATAGATCTTGTTTGGCTTTTATTTCTACTATGTTTCCTCAAAAAGTTCTTTTTATGTCAACTAACATTATCTTACAAAATAATTACATATGAGATGTGGTTTATTGGTTTGTAATGATCTCTCTATTCACCGTTCAAATTCAATTTCGTATAATACGTGTTAATTAATGTATATTATTCGTCTATAATATACATTATACATATTATACTTATATTATAAGAATTATTTAACAAAAAAAGTATATTATTTTATAAACATTTGCAATGCCTGAAATCTTTTAGTTATTATAAGTTTTATGAGATTAATTGCTGTCTAAAAGCATCTCTAATATATTATATTACTTTTTACACTTAAAAGAAATAGTCTAAGT